GGGCGGGGCGGAGGCCGGGTCGGGGCTGCGGCTTGGCGACGCGAGGCTGGCCGCCGGGCCTCCCGCCGGCCCGGGACCCTCCTGTCTGCTAATCGTCGCCCTCTCTGAACACTGCAGTGGCGTCTCTCTCACTTTGTCCCCTCTCCGGGCGCGAGATCGTCCTTCCGGAGCCATGTCAGAAGGAGTGGACCTTATCGATATCTACGCCGACGAGGAGTTCAACCAGGTGAGGGCTTGTCTAGAGCTTTGGGGTTTCCCTTGATCCCGTGCAGCTAACTTGTAGTGATTTCACGCAGTGCCGGTCCGGGGCTTGAACAGGCACCTATCTTTTTAGGTCTGAAAATTTCCCCATAGCATCTAAAAATTTCCCCTAGCGGAGACTTTAAAGACTACTCACCGTGCTGCTTTATGTAAATTTGAACCCCCGGGCTTAATTTTAAAGGGTTTGATTTAAGAGCAAATAAAAACCAAGTACAATAGAATGATGAATCAACCTGTGGAGTTTGCTCCTGCGGAAGCCAAAGTTGAAGTGTTGTTAGCATCAAAAATAAACCACGCTCACGAAAAATCAGAATTATTTACGTTGTGGTGTACATGAGGACAGCGTTGATACTGCTGGGTTGTGGTTCTGAGACTGCAGCTAGAGAATGTAGCGTCCCCCCACCCCCCAATAAAGGGCAAAGACGCAGAGTCAAAGATACTTAAGCATTTAATTTCATCTTTATTCCCGTTGTAAGTCTTAAGTAGCTTGACTCTTCTTAGAAGTCTGTGGACATTTCGGTGTGATAAGTTTGGTTGGTACATCTTGCTGTTTTCGAAGGTGGGAATAGAGCACAAACTCACAGCCTAGGTGGCTTTGTCGATGCTGCTCTCTTACTACATCAGAGAACATCGTACAAAGATTTTTCCTGAAATTTATGAAGTTCAATTCTGTGATGGTTGAGATCAAATCTCAAGAGTGTTCCAAGGTCTCTATTTAAAATTGACTAATATGTTACCTGGGTTATTTCCAGCACCATTCTACTTGGGCAAGCTGGTTCTTCCCATTGCGTCCTCCAATGGGTGTGCGTAAGGAGCTGGAAAGAGCATGAGAAGGATGGACTAGAGGAGGAGAGTTCCCGGTTGGACCCTGGCTGTGGTGTGATGCAACAGAGGAGGCTCATACATGCCTTTTTCCTTCCCTCTAATTGGCCTCAATCCACATTTTTTAAAAACATAAGCATTTGGTGTGCAAATGTTCAGATCCAAAGTGACACAGCAAGAGCAGTGGAGTGGCCCAGTACCACTCTACAGCTCCAGCAGCTGCTCTTTTTGCTCTGGTACCTGGGATTGAATTCATTGCACATGGTAGGCCCAAGCTCCACCGCTGGTGTAGCCCCAGCCTCTGATTATACTTTTTTAATAGCAGTTTTCCCTTGTCTCCTGCTGTACCATAGAATTCATCTGCATATGGGTACTAATTGTCTTAAATACATGAAAAATTTTAAGATGTCAAATAAGCCAGATTATGGCTACAAGAAAGGTGGTGTATGTTATTTGTGAAACCATTTTCTGAGTTTTACATAGTTCTTAGAATTAGACTTTTGATACCTTTTGTAAATTATGAGCTTGTGTTTTTTAAGATGAGAAGGCTCCCCAATTATCTGTCATTAATTAAAAGCTTTTTTCCTTCAATTCCTTAACTGTGTGTGGTTAACGACTACTGATTCACTTTGGGGGATAGGCAGAACAGGGTCTTGATCACGGGCTATGTTTGGTCTAAGAAAATGATTTTGTAATTTCTTCAGTGTAATTTACAGTCTGATATAGGGAATGGGCCTTCTCCAGTAATCACTGCTTTGTCAGACGTTATTGGCCTCAACAATTTGTTTTCTGCTGTCTGTAGTTACCAGAGGACTTTTTATGGCGGTAAGACCAAAGCTAGCGTATGTACTCTGTTAGGTGTTTATGACCTTGGTAACATTTGATGCTGGGCAAATGGAAGAAGTGTAGATGTTGAAAATTTTATGTTCTGAGTTTAATCCCCTGTTCCGTCAAAAAGAAAAAAAGAAAGTTTTATGTTATAAAGAAGGTGGAAGAAGGAACAGCGTCCCTCCCCAGTGAGTTAATTTTTGCTACGGCTAGTTTTAGTACAATCTACAAGCTGCTAAAGCAGTGGTAGAAACTCCAAGGAGCGTTGTGAGCTGGCTCAGACTGAGGCAGCCCGCACCAGGTGTGTTTTGGAATGTGCGAAGAATGTTGATTTGCCTGTGCTGGCCTGACAGCTCCTTCCCATGCACTCTTGTCCCCGATGGAGCCTGTGCTACTTGCTCTAGTCGCTTAGAGCTTGTGCTGCCAAAGCCTCTTTTTTTTTTTTCCAGGCCCTTGTGCTTGCCAGGCAAGCGCTTGTTCTACTGAGCTATCTCCCTAGCCCCCAAAGCCTCTTCACCAGAGCGGCTTTATTCCTGTTAGTTCCAGAGACCCCAGCTTCACAGCTGCTCTTTCGGGCTGGGGAGAAAAACTGAAAAGGTGACTGAGAGTTGCTACTTTGTTGAATGCTTTGTCTTTGTTCCTTCTCATGCTGACAGGGCACCGTGTGCCCACTTCTCTTACTTCCATCAGCAAGTATTTATTGCACTACTTGTGTTTGCCAGGACAGCTGAGGTAAAGAAGGAAAAACAGATCACTGTACTTAAAACAGGTCCCAGTCCTAGTGGGTCAGGGTGATGGTGACTGAGTCACAGTGTAGAGAGAGGAGCAGGAGCAGTGGCGAAAGCCTAAGGGGAGGGGTCCCCAGTGAACACAGGAAACCTTGATTTTTGTTCACAGTAAAAGAAACATTGGGATGTAGTTGTGAGAACAATTCACAGCTAGGTTACGTCCTTTAGTCAGATACCAGCAGGAAGAAGGGGCCTGGGGGCGGGAGCATTGGACATGCTGGTGGGAAGAGTGGTCAGGGGCTTCCTGACACCATCGCTGCTTTTCTTTTTTTTTTTTTTTCTTTTGAACACAGAACTTTCTGAGATTTTCAGTCTTTAAAAACATACTTTTTTCAGGGCCGGCGGTATAGCTCAGCGGACTAAGCGCTTGCTTAGATAAGCGCAGGAGCCAGGGTTCAATACCTGGCTCCGCCTGCCGCGCCGGCCCCACCTTCGGGTGCGCTGAGCCGGCGATGGAGTCCGGGCGCGGTGGCGCGCGCCTCTAATCCTAGCACTTGGGAGGCAGAAATCAGGAGGATCACTACTAATGTGGGCTATGTAGTGAGACCCTGAGCAAAAAAAAAAAAAAAAGAAAAGAAAAAGATAATCCAAAAACATACTTTTTTCTTTTTTCTTTTCTTTTTTTTTTTCAGTACCAGGGATTAAACTCAGGACCCTGTGCTTGCCAGGCATGCGCTTATTCTACTGAGCTATCCCCCGACCCCAACAGCATTTCTTGTTTGATCTTTCTGGACTGAAACTTTTAACATCATTGCATGTTGAACATTTTTTACTTAATTTGTAGAAGTAGGTTTTATTTTAACCTAACCCCTCACTCAATAGATCACCAACTCTGGTAATGAGAAACTTCCGGCATTACCTCATTTTCTGTCTTAATGAAGTGATGGTGCTGTCATGTTTAAACCCAGACACAGCTTGATGCCTCATTTCTCCAGTGTAGCCTTCCATAGGCTTCCACCAGACTCTAAACTGAGGGTCTTTGCCCGCGTACCACATGAATCTTGAATTCCAGGATTGAGTCTGGTCTCATCTTTAAGGGACTCTGAAAGTAGAGTGTGGCCCTTCCCATTACGGGTACATTCAGGTGCACAGTGTGAGTGCTTTTTTGGTCTCTGCTGTCCAGCTCTGCATTTGAGTTTACTAGCCAGTTTTTAGTGGGTATTTTTGTACTATGACCTTTGGACACATTCTCTTAAATATATTTGAAAACCCTTGTTTTATTGAAAGGCTTTGTTTTATTTAAAGATCTTGGTGCAAGGAATATTCCTCACTTGAATTCCTCCAGGGGTTGATCCCAAGACCTCCCCCATACTAAAACCCTCAAATGCTGAAGTTCTTCTTATTCAATGATGTAGCATTTCATCTGATCTGCAAATATTTCATCTGTGTACCTAATCGTTTATAAGTTACTTGTACCCAGTGTAATGAAAATGATGTGTAGACTACATTTTGGGGGGGTCATTGCTTTTTACTGTATTCCATAGTTGGTTGATTTTGGGATGTGGAGCACACAGCTAGAGCGCTAGTGGTGGCACCCTTAGGGTTAGGGCACTGGCTGGGACCAAGTGATTTACCAGTCCTTTCCCTACTGAGAACCACAGGTCAAGTCAGCCTTCCTGATTTGTGAATGGGTCAGTGATTTGTCCAGAGCTCGGAGGATTTAAACAGTGCTAGGATCAAACTTGGTCTTGTGCACAGTAGCTTCATCCCAGCTCTTGCTTCCTTCTTATGTTTCCTTGATTTTGTTTTGTTTTTGCTTTTGAGACAGACCTTACTACATAGCCCATACTGGCTTCAGACTCATGGTTGGTCCTTCTGCCCTAGCCCACTTAGTGCTGGGGTGACAGACATGAGCCACAGTACCCAGCTTATTCGGTTGTTTTTTTTTGTTTGTTTGTTTTTGTTTTTAACATTTATTTATTGTGTGTGTGGGGGGCAGCTCAGCCCACCAGGGGGCGCGGCTGGCTGGCTGGCATGTGGTGCTGGAAACCTCCGTCCCCGTGCTCTGCCAAGCTTGTTCCAAGTAGGTGCTTTAGACCACTGAGCCATCTCTCCAGCCCCTATTCGGTTGTTATGGAAAGCTGGGATTGCCTTCTATGAACTTCAGGGAGAGATATAAGTCAGTAACTCCCAATTTTGGGGGGGTTTGGTATCTACTTTCCCATGCTTCACCTGCTTCATATTTCTAAATAAACATCCTTATTGAACAGAGTAGTATTATGTAACTCGGTTTTGGAAGCCATATGAGATGTTGGGAGTGTTTGCATCAACTGTGGTGTTTATTTATTTATTTATTTATTTATTTATTTTTTCTGCAAAGCTTTATTCCAGAGGGGCTCAGTCCTTCTTGGCAGCTGCCTTCCTCATGGTGGCCAGCACGTTGCTCAGCTCCTCATGCTTCCTCTTGGCGCGGATGTGTGTCCCCACCCTTTTCTTGATGAACTTGAGGGCGCGCTTGTCCTTGGAGACCTTGAGCAGCTCCATGGCACGCCGCTCATAGGGGGCGAAGCCGCACACTTCCCGGCTCATGTCCCGCACGAACTTGGTGTGTTTGGTGAGACGTCCGCGGCGGCGGCTGTGCCTCGGTTTGCTTACATTCTTAGTCACCTTGTGGCCCTTGTTGAGGCCCACGGCCATGGGATAGCGGAGGGCCATGGCTACTCTTTTTTCAATGGTTGCTCAAGTGTGGTGTTTAGATGCTGCTTCATTGAAGACAGTGGCGTAGGCATCTCATTCCTGCTCAGTCTGCTTGCTTGCCTTAGGTCCTCATTTTCCTAGGTGGCTAAGGCTATAAATGTCACTTGCTACTCAGAAGGTCTGGAGAGACCCACAGGGGCTAAACTTAAGTTTCGGAAGGTTTCCTAGAGTAGGACCAGCAAGCCTTATACAGGAAGTTTTACGAAGTACTTTATTATGGTTTCTAAGTAAATTAGAATGAAACAAACCAAAATCAAAGATCTGCAACGTTCCTCTGCCCACTCCTCATGTTGTAGGACCCAGAGTTCAACAATACAGATCAGATTGACCTGTATGATGACGTGCTGACGGCTACCTCACAGCCCTCAGATGACAGAAGCAGCAGCACTGAGCCACCACCACCCGTCCGCCAGGAGTCCTCTCCAAAGCCCAACAACAAGACCCCAGCGATTCTCTACACATGCAGTGGCCTGCGCAGCAGGCGAGCAGCCGTCTATGTGGGCAGCTTTTCCTGGGTGAGCACAGCTAACCGGAAGGCTTGGGGGCCTGGAGGGAGAGCTCTGGGAGGTGATGGCATTGTCGTAGACTGTTGCCACACTGTTTTGTGCTCTGATGGGGTTGGATTTCTTTTTCCTGGGATCAGGTTGGATTGATCTCTGAAAGAGAACTATCCTGAGGACGTACTGGTGCCGAAGAAAGCAATGATTAAGTGGGTAGTTGCTCTTTCTGCCATCTCGTTACTGGCCCTGGCCCTGGGGCTTTATGTCTAGCAGGGTCACCTGTGGGATGAGCCCTCAGAGTGAACACCTTGAACTCTTGGTGGTCATTAGGTGGTCCTGTGATCATGGTGGGTGATGGGGATCGAGGCCTCGGGAGCTCTCGTGCACTGGGCTAGTGGTGACTCTTGCCAGGGTTACCGTGTAGCATGTTTTTAGGCTGGTGGCAGGGGTGGTTTTCTCAGATAAGAAAATGTGTGTGCTGAGGGGAACGTTATGGCAATCATTAGCTCTAGCCTCTGACCTGTAATTAAATGATGTTAGTGTCTAGACTGATGACCTGCCAGCCCAAATGGCAGTCAGAGTTAAAACAGTTATTAATCCCTAAGGATAGGGATTGAGGGGGGTTTGGGACTCTGAACGGGTGAGGACAATGATAAAAGCCTATCCTGGTTGAAATATTGCTAGGCTTGCGGGTTTCCTGTGGAAAGTCGTGAACGTGGCTAGCACCCTAGGTTTGGGAGCAGGGTCTGAAGCTTTCTTCTGGGTGGGTAGGGAGGGGCATGTAGCTCTTGACATTTTCCCTTTTCCATCTTGCCGGCCTCAGTGGACCACAGACCAGCAGCTGATCCAGGTTATTCGCTCTATAGGAGTCTATGATGTGGTGGAGTTGAAATTTGCAGAGAATCGAGCAAATGGCCAGTCCAAAGGGTGAGGCCTGGGATCGGGACGCCCCTTCTAGTTTGTAACCAGTAGGGGAGCAGAGCTGCCCCATGTGCTGACCTTTGGGCCCGCTTGTACAGTCATTTCAATAAACTGCCTCAGGACGAAGTCCCAGCTGCAGCGTGATGGAACGTCCATTTGCTGAGGGCAGAGTGCTGGGGGGTTGCCATCCTTAGGTGCTTTTTGTTTTGTTTTTGCTAGTTTGTTGCCAGTAATGGGTACCAAGCCCAGGGGCACTGTACGTACACATACATCCCCAGCCCTTTCTTTTTTTGAGACAGTCTTGCTAAGTCGCCCAGGTTAGCCTTGAACTTTAGGTCCTCATACTTCTGCCCGTAAGTAACTGGGCATCCACGTGTGCATTCCACTGTGCCCAGCAACATTGCTGGTTTTTGATTCCCTGCCTCCAGATTATACCCTGGCACCTTTTGTTGTTGATGGTTTTGTGTGTGAGTGTGTTTCTGTTTCTTTAATTTAGTGAAGGTCTTTTCCCTTGCCAGTTTTGTTGAAAGTAAAAGTTTGTGTTCCCCTCCTGTCTATTTTAACTGCTTTTACTCATCTACCTTCCCTCCCTCAAGGTATGCTGAGGTGGTGGTAGCCTCTGAAAACTCCGTCCACAAATTGCTGGAGCTCTTGCCAGGGAAAGTTCTCAATGGGGAAAAAGTGGACGTGAGGCCGGCCACCCGGCAAAACCTGTCACAGTTTGAGGCCCAGGCTCGGAAACGTGAGTGCGTCCGAGTCCCGAGAGGGGGTACGTGGAGACCATCTGTGTTGGGGGAGGTTCGGGTCTGTTCTGTGGTGTGGGGGAGGTGGGGGGCACACGGTATTTTGGGTTGTGGGCGATTGGGGGTGGCCAGTAAAGGGTTCGTGCTGGAAGTCAGGTAAGTTCTGGGTGCAGTCAGGCTCTGCGACTCTCAGTGCAGGTGCTGTACTGCTCAGGACCAGTTTCCACCTGAACTGCACACTCCATGTTTGAAATTCCTGCCAGCTGTAAATTTTGCGTTTTCGTATGCAACTGGCATGTGACGAACAGGCTTATTTGTGAGGCACGCCTCTCTCACCCACCCTAAAAGTAACTAAGCTACACAGAAATGGCTGTGGTCTTTATCAAGAGCGGTGTGGGAGGAGGGCTACTCTGCACAGAGTTTACTTCCAGCAGATTCTCAGAGTTTTGGGGAGAGCTTTCCCTGAGGATACTTCTGTTATTAAAGAGTCACACTGTGCACCTTAGCTGGATGACTGTCCCTTCAGGTGACGTTACTCCCTTTATTCTGACTCTGGTTTCCAAGCCACTCCCTAATGCTAGTTTGGTTTCCCAACTGGGCTGTCCCACTGGGAAGAGAGTTCACGGCACACTGATTTGTGTGGCAGTGACCTTTCTCCTTGTGAAGTAACAAGCAGGCATTCTGCATCAGGCTCTTATAAGTTTGGTCAGCGAGAATCCATCTCCTGGGATCCACGTACCCTCAGTGAACTCAAAAAATGTTTCCAAACCTCTGAAACCCAAGGGCTGGACCTAGGCTGTGCCTGAGCTCACAAGGTGCAGCCACTTACAGGGCCTGACTTTAGCCAGTCAGCTGGCTGCGCAAGTGGTGTACCCTATAAATCCCAGTGCTGTGAGTGACAGAGGCATGAGGGTTGTGAGTTCAAGCCCAGCCTGGGCAACTTGGTAATTTGGTGGGGCCCTGTCTGGTCAAGTGGAAAGGGAGCTGGGGATACAGCTAAGTGAAAAGGCTGAGTCCACTTCCCAGTAAGAAAGGAAAGGGGATGGGGCTGGCAGAACTCCCTCACCTGTGTCCCGTTATTGTGTGTGGTGTTCACCTCAAAAACCATGGTGCCCAGTGTTGGTCTGGGCTGCCGCTTCCAGCTTGCGTAGGAACAGCTGTTCTCAGCCCAGCTGAGAGCTGATACAGGCGCACACCTGTCTCCCTTGACAACTCCGTTCATGAATCCCTTGTCTCAGGGCCCCGTGTCTGTCCTGGGTGCATAGCTGTATAGTGCTTTGGGGGTGATCTGCCTACCTCTCCCTCTTGCTCTTTACCACTCACAGCCAGAAAGATTGCTGTGACGGTGCCTCTTACCTGCTGCTCACACACTCAGCCAACTTCCCCTGCGTGCAAGTGGCTGCTCCCCGGGGCCTTGTAGCCATAGATACGAAGCAGAACCTTGCAGATACAGGAGCAGTAGGTGGCTGAGAAGCAGCTGACCACCGGAGGACCACATTTGCTTAACAGCTCTTCAGTTTGCGAGCACTTGATGAGGGAGCAGGTGGCAGTGCATTTTGAGATGCAGAGAATGCACTTTCTGTCAAACACTGATGATAAGCTGGGGATTGTCAGTGCGGTGGAGCCTCTGTAGCTACGTCAGGGTGGCAGCTGTCCGCTTTCAGTTCAGGGAACAACTCTTCTTCCCCACACTTGCTAAGCTTCTTTCTACTTTGACACTGCTGAGGCCGCTGCCGGGTCAGCAGGGGAGCAAGCCTAGCCGCGGCCCGCTGTGCAGGCCCTGCTTCCCACGTACGTCCACCAAGGTAGTGTGGTGGCCCAGTGAGTGAAGGGTCACGCCTTGGGGGAGAGTGTCCTGGGCGGGCCGGGCGGGGTGGGGTGTACAGCTGCCTGTTGCAGAGGCCTTGCTGGAGCCACCCCATCTGCTATCCTGTGAGGGGTTTTCTCGTGGCTTGTCCCCAGCCTTTCCCGGCCAGGTAGCCTCCAGTCACTACTCCTGTGCGTCTCCTCTCTGCCCAGTACCAGTTTGGGTACAGGGATAGAAAAGGGGGATCTGCCCCGTGCCTTGCCTTGGCTTCTCAGATTCCCTGCCAGAGCTTGGTAAGAAAGAGCATTCCTGAAGGATGGCGAGGTGGAGTGGCTTCAGGCCATCTGGAACCAGTGGAGCAGCAGGAACGGGTTCAGCGTTGTCATTTTCTCACGGGCCATGAGGGTCTTTGTGTCACAGACAAATCCTGTGGTAGATTCAGGGTGTCTTGAAGCACTGTGGGAGTTCATAGAGGTGCTGCTTTCTGAGTTTGTGTCTTAACTGAGATACTTTGACCTTTTCCTCTGCAGCTGAAGAAAAGTCCGGGGGTGACTTTCCCCTTGTGCCACCTCCTCTCCACCTTTGTAGTGGTGTCAGATCCCTTGCTGAGAGGCGAGGGGTGTGCCCGAGGCTGGGGCAGTGACGTGGCTGTGCTTTGCCTTGTAGGAATACCTCCACGGGCCCACTCCCGAGACTCTAGTGACTCTGCTGACGGCCGGGCCACGCCCTCTGAGAACCTTGTTCCCTCGTCTGCCCGCGTGGATAAGCCCCCCAGTGTGCTACCCTACTTCAATCGCCCTCCTTCAGCCCTTCCCCTGATGGGTCTGCCCCCACCCCCGATTCCACCCCCGCCACCTCTTTCCTCAAGCTTTGGGGTCCCTCCTCCTCCTCCTGGCATCCACTACCAGCATCTCATGCCTCCCCCGCCTCGATTACCTCCTCATCTGACTGTACCTCCCCCTGGAGCCATCCCACCTGCCCTGCACCTCAATCCAGCCTTCTTCCCCCCTCCAAATGCCACTGTGGGGCCTCCACCAGAGACTTACATGAAGGCCTCTACGCCCTATAACCACCATGGCAGGTAAAGCCCTGCTGCTGCCTTTGGGTGGTGGGAACCCAGATGGGGCAGCCAGGGTGCTGAGCCTTGTGTTCTCCCTGAAGAGCAGAAATAGAAACATGGGTCCTAGCGCTAAGCCCTGGGGCTTGTGTCCTGCCTCGCGGTGTTTAGGTTTTTGTTTGCATCCTAACAGCTGCTTGACCCAAACCACAAGGAACTTGAGGCCGAGTGCCGTAAATGGCTGCTGTACACACTGCTGTGTGTGGCACTGCTGAGTCGTGTCGCAGTTACAGGAGCATGCCCATGGCGGGTGAGGTCTTGGGGAGAAGAGGAGCACCTAAGTGCGTGTGTGGGCAGGCCGAGCACCTTCCTGGCCAGCATACAGTGCACATACTTCACAAGCACCGGGACAGGGCGTAGAGTCACGGGGGTGGGGAGCAGGCACTGAGGAAGCGTGTTTGTTGTCTTGCAGCCGAGATTCGGGCCCTCCGCCCTCCACAGTGAGTGAAGCTGAGTTTGAAGAGATCATGAAACGAAACAGAGCGATTTCCAGCAGTGCCATT